AGAAATTTGGGTGCAAATGGATCTTCAAGAAGAAGACCGACATGGATGGTAATGTACACACTTATAAGGTGTGACTAGTTTCAATGGGTTTTTCTCACACTCTAAGAGTTGATAATGATGAGACCTTTTCACTAGTTGCAAAAATTAAGTCCATTAGGGTTCTGTTAGCCATCGCTGCATTTCATGATTATGAAATATGGCAAATGGATGTCAAAACCGCCTTCCTTAATGGAAGCTTGGTTGAGGATACTTACATGTGTCGACCAGAGGGTTTTGTCAGTACATAGTACCATAATAGAGTGTTTAAGCTCGAGAAATCCATTTATGGGTTAAAACATGCACCTCACAGATGGAATCTTTGCTTTGATGAGAAAGTCAAAGAGTTTGGATTTTTGAGGAGTGAAGATGAATCTTTTGTCTATGTCAAGGCTAGTGGGAGTATAGTTTGCTTTTTGGTACTGTATGAGAATGACATACTACTCATAGGAAATAACATCCCAACCTTGCAGGAAGTGAAGTCCTAGCTTGGGAAGTGTTTCTCTATGAAAGACCTAGGAGAAGCTGCCTATATTCTAGGGATAAGGATTCTCATAGACCGGAGTAAAAGACTAATTGGACTTAGTCAGAGTACCTACTTGGATATGGTGCTAAAGAGGTTCAACATGCAGGACTCCAAGAAAGGAGAGTTTCCCATTCAAAGTAACGCTAGACTGAGTAAAACTCAATGCCCGAGTACTGAGGCTGAGATAGCAGAAATGAGTCGAGTAAATTTTGCTTCTGCAGTAGGCTTGATCATGTATGCTATGACATGCACTCGTCTGAATGTGGCCTTTGCCTTGAGCATGGTCAGAAGATATCAGGGGAATCCCTAGCAAGGCTCACTGGACTGTGGTAAATAATATCCTCAAGTACCTGTGGAGGACTAAGGACTAGGTCCTTACCCTCGGTTTCAGTGATGACTTGAGAGTTGTAGGGTATAGTGATGCTAGCTTCTAGACTGATATGGATAATTTCCAATCTCAATCGGGCTGGGACTTTACCTTAAATGGAGGAGCAATCACTTCGAAGAGTTCCAAGCAAGAAACAGTGGCTGATTCAACTTGCGAATCAAAGTATATAGCAGCAAGCAAGGTAGCAAAGGAGGCGATATGGCTAAAGAACTTCATTGGAGACCTTAGAGTTGTACCATTTATAAAGGAGCCAATGTAAATTTTTTGTGATAGTGAAAGTGTAGTTGCCTTAGCAAGGAACCAATGGATCACGGGAGATCCAAACACATCAACTAGAAAATATCATTTCATCAGACATCGAATAGAAGAAGGACTCCTCGTGGCAAGAGGGTATCATCGGATGAGAACCCAGCAGATCCCCTTACAAAGGGACTGGTTTGGGTTAAGCATCTCTAGCATGCTCGGAGCATAGGGCTGAAGGATGATATTAGTTTTAGTAGTTAGATAATTTTGAAATTTGTAAAGTGTAATTGACATTTGATGATGAATAAAAGTTGTGTTTATTTATGTGTAACGTGTGGCTATCTTTTTTCAATCGTTTACTATATTTTTGTTGCATGTTTTGACGTCCAGAATAATTATGTTTGGTATATCATATTATTTGAATTCTCCACAGTCGGTCATATGTTGGAAGTAGGTATGATTCAAGACTGTCATGATTTGGTTGCAGAGGTCTAAGTTGTTGGACATGGCTACAACGCTCATGAGTGCTCATAAGTTCTGAGTATTGGATTCAACCCACGTTCACTGGTATCACTTCATGGAATTTATCTCGAGTGACCATGAGACGGTAATATCATATAACTCTTCAAACCTAGAGATTTGACTTATTGCCTATGAGTTGGTTATGCATTGATTGTACGAAACTGCATTGGTAACTCGATGTTATAAAAAGTACTTTTGTGTGTGATTTAACAAGTGGTAGAATAAGCATTTCAGTTGAAGTTTATATGTTCCTTCTTGGATTAGAATTGATATCTGGGCCCCTCGATGATTTTGTTTTGACCTATGTACCAGGCCCGGTCGGAACCGAATTGATGTGTTCAATTAAGTTCTTTGTCAAACAAATCAGAAATCAGGAAACAAACTATTGGACAATAAGTAAGACATTGTTCCATGTATTTGTCTGGCTGTTATCGAGAACATAGGATTATATGATCACTTATCTTAAATGGTGTAACATCATCGCCTCATACTTGCAATTATAGTTATTAGACTTATCCAAGTGGGAGACTGTTGGATAAGGTGTCTAAGTCCACAACTATATTTGGTATGTACTTGACCCGACCCGGCATGGTCCATTTGGGTTGCATGGCATCATGCATTTGGATAGATTAAATGAGAGAAATAACACTTGTGGTTTATTAATATATTATAAGTTCTAATATATTAATAGTACTATTTAGTTAGTATTGATCGAGAATTAATTTGGAATTAATTAAGTGATCAAAATATGACTAATTAAATATATGGGTTGATTATGTAAATCATCCATAACTTGTATAGTGGGCTAATGCTCCATGGATTATCAAGTTGGGTTAAAACCCATAGGATGCTCCATGGGAGTTACAAACCCATGGGTCATGAAAATGAAGAGTCATGTCACATTAGGGTCTACATGGTGTAACCCTAGATGTGACACACTATAAGAGAAACATGATATCATCCAAAGTCGGCGACTAGAAGCATAAGAGAGGGCAAGCCGATTTGCAAGTGTTATACATTCTCTCAAAGTTATTCCAAAGTATTTGGTGTTGTGTGAAACATTTGAGGCATCACACTTGGGGTGCTAGGCTCTCAAGGTTTTCAAGTAATCAAATCAACTGCACGGTATGTAATTTTAGCCATCATTTATGTTAAGAGTTCGCCATGTATGCTAGATAGGATTACGAACCATGGAAATCATATTTTGCATGTATTTTAGAAAAACATAGATCCAAGGTTCTCTAGGGTTGCATGTACACTTCAGGGTGTTAGAATGCTCATAACCCATCATATGTATTTGATATTAAGCATAATTTGATCAGTGTGGCCCAATTCATTGATGTAGATTGGAGAGTTGAATTCCTGTAAGAAGCACAACTATGTTATGATAGAAGACGGAAAAGAATGTCTTTTCAAATAAAATCACATCAAGAATATATATCATTTAGACATCAACATGATCATCAGAAAGCTTCAACTACTTTTTTTCTATCAAAAGTCATACCTGACATAAGTTGGATATTGCATCGAAGGCTTGATAATATCTATTTTCGATACATGAATGATCTAGTTTCTTGTGAAATGGTTTGAGGTATGCACTCCTTAAATTTGAGAATGATCATCTATGTGCTGCGTGTGAATATTGGAATAAATCAAAGAAAGGACATCATGTTCTGATTGAAAAATCAATTTTGGAACCTCTTGAACTTCTTCATATCAATCTCTGTGGACCATCTATCGTAGAAAGCATACATCAAAAAAGTTCATTCTTGTGATTGCTAATGACTACACAAGGTTCACCTGGGTTTTCTTCCTTAGGCTAAAATAAAAATAATAAAAAATCAGAAACTGTCTCGGAACTCATAAATTTCATCAAAGGTATTGAAGTTCTAATTAAACTACCTATTTATAGAATTTTCAGTGACAATGGATCCGAGTTGATAAATGCCACATTTAAAAAATTCTTGCCAACAAAGGCAGTAAACGAAGTTTTTCTAAACCCTACACTCCTTAACAAAATGGCGTTGTTGAAAAAAGAAACTAAACTCTAGTTGAAGTCGCTTGGTTGATTCTAAACTTTGAAAAATTTGTGTTTATCTTTGGGCGGAAGCTGCCTCCACGACTTGCTTCACTCAAAATCAAAGCGTCATCATCCGTCGTCTCAACATGACAACATATGAAGTAATGAATGATCGGAAGCCAAGTATCTTATTTTTTCACATTTTTGGATGTCGATGCTTTATAAAAAACAACTATGATCAACTCACTACGTTACAACCTAAATCCAATGAAGCCATCTTTTTATGATACTCAGACAAATCTAAAGCTTACAGAGTTCTGATTCGTAGAACTCGTGTAATTCAAGAAAGCTTTGATATCACTTTTGATGATAGTTTTCTTCGGAACTTAGTCCCTACTCATGTTACAACACACATCATGGAATTTGATGTTCCACCTCTTGGAGTTCCGAATCCTCAAATTATATATGAAGTTGATTTCGAAAGCCTGTTTGGACCAATACAAATTGTTCTTGATTCGGAATCTCGATCAGGACCGTCTTCATCTGCCACTCTGGTTTCTCAAAATATTTCTGGTCTGACCCCAACCTTTCCTCCATTTGATTCTGATGCGTTTGAACCTTCTTAGGTTGAGACAGAGAATAACAATCCAACCCTTGAATAAAATGTAGATGGATTTGAAGATCCAACAGATCAATTCGCTAAAATCAATAATTCCAAACAACAATGAAGATAGTGTCAACTTCTTTGAAATTCCGAACTCTGACAATGCTGGCATTTTCAGTTCAGAAGTTCAGGGTGAGCATCAACCTCAACTTCAAATTGTTTAGAGTGAGTAATACAACCCCATTGTAGATATCGAATTATCTACCACATAAGAACTTCTCAAATTACATATATGTACAAAGGATCATCCCCTGAATCAAGTAATTGGAAATCTCAGCGTTGGAGTTCAAATTCACTCTACTACTAACATACAAAATAAGTGCCACTTCCCAAACAATACCTCGTCTAAATTTGGATCTTGATCCGTTTGAGACAGTTCAAGAATCTTAATTCTTTTCACAAGCTCAACCACAAGGTAATTTTCAATGCCAACCACACCGCCTACTCGATGAGTCAACTGATTCCTCCGATGAAGGACTTGTTGAAGAGTCGTTTCAAGAGCTCCAAGAAAAGCGAAAAGGGAAGAATCCAAGCAAAGGAAAGGCTCAATGCAAAGAGTGGATATGTGATGAAGACACTGTACTAGCGCAAGCATGGCTACATGTGTCGGAGGATCCCACGACGGGCGACGACCAAGATTCGACGACCTTCAAAGCTAGAGTTTGGCATAATTTATGTCAGCGAACAAAAAGGTAGTACCACATTCCTGATCAACTTTGCTCCAAATGGGGGATTGCCAACAAAGCCTCAATGGAGTTTAACGGTATCTACATGAACAGGATCCACAACCCCCCAAAGCGGTGCAAATGAGGTGGATGTGTTCGAAAATTTCTGTAAGATTTACAAGGCCAAAGTCGGAAAACCTTTTGGCAATGAGGAGTTTTGGGGAGTTGTGAAGGGGAAACCAAAATGGCATAATCTAAGAAGTGTTGATGATTACGCAGGTGCTTCCAAACGAAGCAAAACTACTAATACCACTCACAGTAACTCTTCTGATGCACATATTGGAGGGATTGACCTCAACAACAATGATCATGGGATGTTAGGAAATTTATATTGCATGCATTGGAAATGGAGTATGTGTCCTAATGCATATCATGGACAATACACAAAGGGCAATTATAATTATCCTACGGTCGTCTTTGGAGCTGTAGCCTGACAAGATTTGTGGATCTGGCATGCCTTTTTCGGTAGTTCCGGTTCGCTTAATGATATTAATATTCTCAATAATGCACCAATATTTAACAAGGTGTATGACGGTACTACCCCAGATTCGTTATTTGTACTCCGAGGAACAAAATATAAATTTGGGTATTATCTTGTGGATGGGATCTATCCTGAACTATATGATTTTCTTAAAAGTTTCTCATGTTCGGATGACCCTCAGAGGTCCAGATTTAAGAGTCCAAGAAAAAGAAAGAAAATATATCAAACGAGCGTTTGGAGCACTTAAAAAGCGTTGGCGGATAGTTACAAAAGCATCCATGTTTCGTGATATTTCTACTATGATAGAAGTGATGTATACATGTATCATATTGCATAATATGATAATAGAGCATGAAGGATATGTGATATGTGTGTACAACGAGAATGAAGTCATCCCAGATACACAACCACTAGAATATGGTGGTCAAGAATGGATACAAATAATGAGGATAATTCATAGTCCAGTAATCCATACCGATCTTCGACATCATTTGACCGATCATCTTTCAACGATGGAAAATCTTGATCTACATATGCCCTCAGAAGACGAATTTGAAGGCCAATATTCAGAGGAAGACCCATTGTTTTAGTGTGTTTTTTTTGTGAAGTGTGTTTCAGTTATGAAGTGTATTTTTTATATATTAAATCGTGTTTTAGGCCATAAGTAGTATTAAATCGTGCTTTAAGTTATTGTAATCGTTTTTATTTAATGTGTAGTGTGTGTCGTTAAAAAAAATTTATGTCATATTAATTAATCAAAAAAATGTTTGTGTAATATTAAAAAAAAATATTTTGTATAATATTAAATTAAAATTGTTTGTTTATTAAAATAAAGTAATTAAAATAAATTAAAAAAGGATCTTAAAAAAGTATTTTATATAATATTAAATAAAAAATGTTTGTTTATTAAAGCAAAGTAACTAAATTAAATTAAAAAAATAAAATAAAACAAATGGAGTGTTAGGAGTGTTACCATTCCTTGCCAAATATTAAGATTAAGTGTTGACTGGAGAAAAATAAGGTGGCATTCAAAAAACTAATGTGACAATGTGTTAGGAGTGTTACCACTCCCTTTTGCCTAAGAATATCAAATCAAAAATAAAAATTTAATATTTAAATAATTAGTATTATCATGTCGTAATATACTATTTTATTATACCAAAACCATATAATACATAACTGATTTTTTGATTTTTGAAGTTACATACCAGTTTCTTTATAGGGTTATTGTCACTGTAGCCCAACAAACTTTAGTATATTGGTTTAAATGGTCTCTCCTGATTTTTTTTGGTAGTTTAGGGGCATAAAGTCTATTTTTACATGCTAAAAAAGGCCCAAGACTTGTTATTACCGGTATCATTGATGACGTGGTTTTTTTTCGAAAGTTATAAGAATTAAACTAAAATCCACCTCACAAATTATCCATCCACTAAAACATAATATATTGGTTTAAATGGTCAATCGTCTATTTTTTTTAACGACTCTTCCACCTCCATTCAACATTTTCGGAGCCCACCACCACTAAGCCTCCGCCCCTCTTACTCGAAAGTTGGAAACCACCGTCATCCACTATCTTCCCCTCTCTTTCCCTATCACCATCTCTGACTCTCTCTCTGTCTCTCACACACACACACACATACCTACAATCGGCGACGACTCTATCGGGAGAACCTACAAGTCACTGAAAATCCGCCTAAGGAACCTTCAAACGACTATCAATCTAGGAAACTATTCTCTACCATTGAAAATCTGCAACCAAGCCACCATTAAGATTTGTAATCAGCTGATCTGTTTGAGAAATCGATAAATACCTAAAAGTTAAATTGAAATAAGCACATTTTCTCTCGATGATGTTATGTCCGTTAGAAATGGAAGTCTATATAGATATTATCATCAGAATAAGAATGAAATCAGCAGTGGTTCTTTCCGATTCAAAGATGCAATTCATTCAAGCACTTGAAGATGTGTTGGGAATCCAGATGAAGAAGCAAAGTTGCGTCGTTTGGAGTTTTTCCAAATGTGGGGTTCTTCTCGTGAATGGATTTAAAGGCTAGGTGGATAAATCAGCCCCCTAAACAAAATCTACTCAAACAATTAAAATATCAGCACCATATCAGAACGTTCTCTTCTTCCATCATCATCTTCGACTTATTGCAACCAAAATCCTATTCTTCCGATCCGACCCTTTTCCGTCATCTTGCTCTGCCACAAAACTCAACGGATTCGCCTCATAAACAACCAGTTGCTCCGACATCATATCGTGTACAAAATTTGTACCTTCGGCTTAATGATTCTCCATATCTAACCTCATAGCCTCATCGTTGCTTCCAGATTGAGCATGAACATGGTCTTGATTAAGCTTGTCGTAGATCTATTCAACCAGTTGCTCTGGCTTCATATGGTGTATAGGATCTGCAGCTTCGACTTCGTGGTCGTTATTAAGCTCTCTGGTCTTTTCTTCGTCTTGCGATTCCACTTATGGCTCAAGAGCGGTATTTCTGAACTTTCTACCATCATCTTCTTGAGATTCTTCTGTAGTTTCACTTGGGGTTTCATATTTTACAAATGTTAACGAATCAAGCTTCTCTTGAAAACCGACAAGTTCTTTTGCCACCACATCCCTCACAATCGGATGCAAACCCTGATGAATTGCATATCGAAAAACGAAATTATGATTCCAAAAACAAAAAAAATTACAATCGAGAAGATGAAGAAATGAAGGTGTACCTGAATGGTATCTAGCTTTAAGAGAAGACTTATTACACGTGGCAATTGAGTTGACATCTAAACATGCAGATTAGGATGGGTGTCACCGGATGACCCCTTCAAATTTACTAAAAGGAATTTTTAAAGCTTAAAAATACAAGTTGGTGCCCTTCAAATGTAAAAAATAGTCACGAGGGATCATTTAAACCAATATACTAATTTTTTTTGGGATACAGTGACAATATCCCTTCTTTATATAAACATTTATCGAAAACTAATAAAAAAAACCGACATATGAGTTAACTCAAGTATACACTAGTTTCTATTACATCATTTTACTTTCCATGGCATTATAGTTGGAAGATTCTACCCATTTATAACAATGAAAATTGATTTATATTAGAAAGAATTGCAATAATTTGATAGATTTTCTACAGTACAATGTTATAAAGGAAAAAAATGATAGAATGACACTATAATATACAAATCAATAAAACTACATTGCTATATTGTGACATCCCTATTTTCAAGGCCAGAAAAGACCGACTTGTTTATGCTTTGTTTTATAAAATCAGAGTAATCATTTAAAGAAAACAGTTGCGGAATTTGTTCCCAAAACAAAATATGATAAAAATTATCAAAGCATTTCTCGAAGAGAATGTATTTTCATTTAATAATAAAACCTCGGGATGTCATGTTCCGATACAGACATATAAGCATAAACAGAACTTACATTTAATTACACAATTGATTTATATCTCCTTTAAATCTCTCTGTGAAATATGTCTTCGTATTAATACCTGTGATACAAAGAAAACTGAGTGGGTCAGGCTTGGGAGCCTGGTGAGCATATAGGGTTTTCAACCCACAATAATATAATTATTATATTCAACCATCAAACAATCAACTCAATTACCCATCCCTATTATCTTCTTTATTTCTTAGGATTTTACCCTAGGAATTCAACTACCCGTCATTCATTCATTCCTAAGGATTGACCTAAGGAATTAGCACAAACTTCCATTGCTACATAAGGTGCATCTGCCAACATTATCCTTTAAGCGCCTCTGCCAGGATTACGTCATACACTATGAGGCGCGACTGCCAGGTTTATGACATTCTCTTTTAGGCGCATCTGCCGACATTATCCTATAAGCACATCTATCAGGATTATCCTGTAAGCGCATGTGCCAGGATTACGACATTCACTACTTGGTGCATCTACCGATATTATTCTTAAACGTATCTGCTAGTATTATGATATTCTCTAATTGGTGCATCTGCCAATATCATTCTTAATCATCTTTCATACCTCATCGTTTTATCACATACCAACTATCTCATCAACCCATGTTCCACCCAACATATTTGTAGATATAAAATACATATATAGTTTAACTCATTTAAAAACTATATAAAACATCCATCCCACACTCATCTCAAATAAACAACAATATATAAACACATAGCACGTATTTTATAACAAATACTTCATATTTATGTGTTAAAAGAAAGTAACTACACACTCACCCAAACATATACTTAATACAGTCAAACAATACTTGTATTATACCCGTGTTTATGAAAGGGACTATACACCCACACATATAAAAACATTTATATTATACACATAAGACGTATTTTATACTAAATACTTAATAATTATGCGTTAGAAGAAAGTAACCACACACTCACTTGATTAGAAGATGATCGGACAACACTACGACTTGTAGAAGTAGTATTCTTCGGTAGATCTGGAAGATCTTCACAAAAACCGAGCTCCTCGCGGGCAGAGCTTCGGCTCGGGAATCACACTTCTCGGGATCTTCGGGGCCTCGGGACTTGCTTCGGGGCTTGGGAATGATACCGGGGCTTCGGGATATTTCTTGCACGATAAACGATGCAAAAATACAAGAAAACGGGAAGAAATGAGCAAAGAAGTCGGTTTCCCTCGACACCCTTTTATAGGGGGCTGGAACACGAATTACGCTCAGCGTAATTCTAAATTACGTTGGGCGTAACGGCGATAAGATCGCTGACTCCCCCCCTTCGGATAATATCGAAATTTATATATAAATAAAATATCGAAAATATTTAATAAACTTCAAAAATTCATATCTTCCTTATACGAACTCCGTTTTTCACGTTCTTTATATCCCCGCGTAGGTGAGACTACGATCTACAAATTTCATTTAGACTCTGTCGGCTAATTTTGAACTTATTTTTATTATTTGTTTTTAGTAGTCCGGGACAGGAAAACTCTGTTATAAAATCATAACTTCTTTATCCGACGTCCGTTTTCGCCTATCTTTTTATCTTTTTACTCCTATTAATGAGACCTTCGATTCTCATTTAGATTGTTTCGACTAAAAACCGCTCGGTCTCAAATCGAGCATTCGGGTTGCATACCGCTAAGTCGAAACTTCGAAAAATTATAACTTCCTCATACGAAGTCAGATTTGGGCATTCTTTTTATGCACTCTCATGGTTTAATGTATTATACAACTTTCATTTAGATTGCTAAGGCTAAATATCGCTCTAACGTAAATTCACTTTTTACGTCGCGTTGTGTCATGCCGGTTTTGTCGCGAAACTTCGACAGGTCATAACTTCTTTGTTATAACTCGGATTTCGGCGTTCTTTATATGCACGGAAACCTTGTAACATATACTATAACTTAATTAAGATTATTCCTTCAAAATAATCTTCCATCAAAAAGTCATTTTTGACGCTTAACGTCTCTAATTGACTAGCCCGGATCTACGGGCGTTACAACTATCTCCCGCTTAGGATGATTACGTCCCGGAATCATCAAAGAAATAGGACTTGCATAATGATTCCACATGTTATTTATTCATCCTAGGTAATAACCGTAACTTCTATGTTTCCTCGAAAGAGTATTTAACTCTATGGCTTTCTTGACTTTAGAAGATGGGCCAATCTTGCATCTGCTTATCGTGCTATGTTGTACTTTCAATCGTAACCTTCAAGTTACCAAATAAGTCCTTATTGTGGACTCCTTCTTCTTCTCATGATAATTACTTTCATTTATCTATTGTAACAAATCGATGGGTGGTGCTCTGTTGACCTCTCATCGCACGATGCGACGCTTAGACTCGATCTTTAATGAAGTTAAATTCCAAGATGGAATATACCTTTCTTCATATTCTAACATGATATAATCACATTTCAGCATGTAGCATTTCTACCTACAAACTTCTTTTAACAACGAGCACGACACTATCAATCGCATTAACTTCAACCTTCTGACTTAAGTCAGATGTTACATCTAACTTGGTGCTGTAGACCACGTAACATACTCCTCGTAGTCGAACTCAAATTTAAATATGACTACTAGGGTCGGAAAAAAGAACCATATTACTAGTCATTACCGAAACAATGGTAATGACATACCAGAATAAAGTGGAATCAATTACTAGCTTCTTGGTAACCTTGTGACTTTCCCTGATCCAAGCACTACTAGAAAAACAGCCTTTTACGACGCTGATTGCGCGTAATAAAAGGCTCAGACGACGAGCAAATGCGCGTCAAGGAAGGCCCTGTCATAAAGAGAGACAACGCGCTTTTGCGCGTCGTCTATAGACGACGCGCATTTACGACGTTCATTTACGACACGCAATTACGACGCGCGTTTACGACACGCAATGCGTATCAAGGAAGGCCCTGTCATAAAGGAAGACGACACGCATTCGCGTTTCGTAACCTTATGATGCACGTGTTAATGACACGCAATGCGTATCAAGAAAGCCCCTGTCAAGAAAGGCCATGTCATAAATGAAGATGACACACATTTTTGCGTATCGTATATTTAAATGTTTAAAAAAATTATATATTTATTAATTTTTATATTAAATTTGCATTTAGTTTCTCATAATAGAAATAAAATACTTTTTTGATAGATTTACTAATTTTCAAATTAAATAACACATTAAAAGTCTCATAATACAAAATAAAATACCATAAACAATAAAGATAATTCATTGCACTAAGGACCATGTTAACAAAAGAATATAACATTATATACCATAAGTACCCTCAAGTAATCAATCTCTTACAATGTTACTAAAAATACCCTCAAGTAATCAATGTCTTACAAAGTTAAGAGACTTAGATACTCAGTTGGTATGTAATATGGCACTAAGAAGCCCAAAAATTGTTTATGTTTTTCCTGTTCCTGGTGGATCCTACATGGACAAAAGGTAAAGAAGTTGTTGCATCAAACCAATCAAGAAACAAAATATAGACCTTTTAGTTTATGTTTCTTGTTTACTTAATAAAAACAAGACTTAATCAAGAAAAAAAATATAGACCTGTCCCTAACCTTCTGTGTTATGGAAAAAGCTAATCCAACCAAACCTCTTATCCTACCAACCTCTTTCTCAACTGCAGCCTTCAACTTAGCATCAACCTAAAACCAAACTCATTTTATACATTAACCAATTATAAAACACTTCATATTAATATCTGAAAATTTTAACTAATAACAAAAATAAGAGGTTATTGGAATCGGAATAGGTGATTCCATCTTTGTACTACTTTTGGAATTCACTTCATTTTGCTTTAAGATTCCTGATGTCTGAAACAAATCATAACCACACAATGCAAAAATATAAAAGTCAAAAGTAAAAAAAAGACGAACTTCACATAAAAAAATACCCATAGACTATCATTGCAAAAAAGACGAGCTTCACATAAAAAAAATACCCATAGACTACCTTGATTTAAGAGGAAACAGAAATAAGTGATTAATAATGTGTGGCCCAACAGAAGCTTCACGGTTTCTATCAGCAAAAAAGTACAGAAAACATGAGAATTTAATCATTTATATATTGAAATTTGTTAAATATGAGGAATGATATAACTTACAGGCAAACGATCCCAAACAAGGTGACCATCATTTGGTTTGAGGTGATAATAAGAGCATCCAAAAGCAACAGCAGCCACACCAATGTAAAAGCATGTCCAACCACAAAGCTCACCTTGTAGACTTAGGCATTTTATACCAGGCAGAATCAGGGGCAGTATAAACCTGAGAAGTGGATGCTACTTTGTTTAATTGTAGTTATCACTATTATATAGGTCATCCATAAAGGTTAAAAGGTACACCATTTGAAAGAGAAAACAAGAAAAAGATAAAAAGTGTTATCTGTTAAGGATGAAAAGTGGAAAGAGTAGCTCTTTAAAAAGATTGACAAAATCAGAAAATATATTTCCGTTGACTTGTTAACACAAACCCCTCGCTTTATCAATCTTTTATAAGTATATCATAAATCCAAAAAGTTATCTACGTTGAAACCCAACAAACCAAGTTTCAACAAACATAGCAATGGATATGGAACACCCATGTTAAAATATATACAAGATGAAGGGCATAATCGTCATTCTACCATCGACATATCCCAGGTGCTTCTGTCCTCAACATTGATATTGCCTCTTCATACTCTGAAGCATATACAAACCCCCACAGCTGCACACATTGACATTCACATCAACTCAACTTATGCAAACTATTTATATTAAATTACACTTTTGGTCCCTGAGAATCTCTAATTTTCCTGATTTTGGTCCCAAAAAGTTTTCTCTTGCAACTTTAGTCCTTATTTGACTATTTTTGGTCCCGAACCATTTTTTCAATTTTGGTCCCCAAAAATTCTCTTACAATTTTGGTCCTTTGAAATTTCTTGTAGAGTTTCAGTCCTTGTTCTAAGTAAGATGACCATTTTTGGTCCCTGAGTATTGCTGATCTTTTCAATTTTAGTCCCAACTCATTTTACTTGGAACGAAGAGTAAAAACGTTACAAAAACCTCAAATAAGGATCAAATTTGCAAGAGAATTTTGTAGGACCCAAATTGAACAAAATCAGCCATACTCGAGGACCAAAAATGTAATTTTTGCAAAAATAAGTGAGAGAAAGCACCTCAATTTCCTTCACTTCAAATTCTTGGGTGTGTGACAAACAAGAGTTACCATAAGTTTCTGAGGCCAAAATTGACCCATTCAATTTGGGAAAAAAAATATGCAAATTGCCAAATTACCATATTATCCCTCAAAAAGAAAAATAGGAATGATGCAAGTGCAACACTCTTACAAGTCACTATCGAGATACAATGCAAAATGATTTCCCCCACCAAGCGCTAAATACTCAGTTGAACAAAGAGTAAAATACCGATTCACCCCTAATAAATGCACAATTAACATAATAAATCCCAAATAAATATTAAAATTATAAAAGATTTTTTTATATATTATCAAGAAAATGCAGTACCTGTGGGGCGATATATAACAGGATGCCCTGGTGTATTTGTAAACACAAATGTATCATTCGATCCATGTATAGTATTTACTCATCATAGTGAAAAAGGGTAGAAAAGTCTTTTATCAACATATAGAGAAACGAACTTAATTAAACAATTACAAACCTGGTATCTTTTCTTTGTTGATGGTTTCAAAGGTGCCTCAACTAAACCACCAAACACTGCACCTTTACGATCTCCAACGACCTGAAAATGTTTAATCAAGTTTCAGTTAAAGGGTAAAGTTGACATTTTGCATAGTTACTGAAGACAAGACATTACCAGTAGACTTAACCCAGGGCAAAGATTGCTTCTTCTATATAAGGTTGAAAGAGATATGCCATGCCTCCATGTACTAACATATAAAAAAGATAATGATATATCAAGATTCAAGAATAATGTGAAACTGAAAATATGAAGAAGATGAAGTTTTACCTGTATAGTAAGACCCATTTCTTTCCTTGACTGAGAACAGGGAGTGCAACATAAAGATCAGAACGTGTATTTCTGTCATAAGTTGTGAAGGTTCTGACATTTTTGGAAGTTTATTAGAAGGAAAAGATGCAATCACATTTTGTACAGGAACCCCATCATTAGTGTCAAATTGAGAGCTTGTTTCTTTCATGTCATCAATCTTTAATTCAGTCTTTACCTTCCAGATGCATGAGATCGATACCCACTAAACCTAGCAGCTTGTGAAAGAGCCTTGCTGAGTGACTGTTTTCCCTTAGAGAATAGACCTTTCTTTCCATTGTTTTCTTTTGAAACGTTTTGGGATGATGTGTCATTTCTGTAGCTAGTTACCACTTGGTTGTCGTTCCATTCTGAATATTCAGACTCGTTTTCTGATCTTCCTGGTGATAAGAATGAGTAGAGAAATGCGGTGAAGGAGGAAGTATCTGGCCCATCAACCAAGATCAATCTCTCTGTAGCCCTACGCAAAACCCTCCATGGTATCAAGCTCAATCTCTGTAGCCCTACGATCTGCCATGTCCAAATCTCTCTCGTCCTCCAGAGAGTCGTCCAACCCAACCGACCTTCATAGCCATTTCTATTGATTTCCAACTCGATATCATAAATTATGTTTCGACATGAGAGTGTGGGGAGGTTTCAAGAAGAACAGAGCAGAAGCAACAACGCAAACGATAACATTAGGTATCGAGGGCTAATCAAGTTTGATTAAAAAGGTTATAAAACTCGTAATAAAGGAAGACAAACCTCTGGAACAAATAAAGAAGTAGAATGTTGATGGTGATTGACCATGGAGTTTCGAGACCTTGTGTAACAACCCGAAATTTCTGCATCATTTTAATGTAACTCTTTCGCGCAACCGATCGTCGTTCCGATTTCCGATTTCCGATCTTCCGTTTAATTGAGTCATTATAAAGTACACATTTAAAATGACTTAATGGGTGTCTTAATACATTTAGAAATCAATTTAACACCCAACTTTAGTGATCGGAATAATTCTAGAATGTACCGTATCGGGTTACGGTAACTTAATCGGGTACGACCAAAAACCCCATCTAACGCCGGTATCAGGTAGAATTCCACCGTGTCCAAAACTTAAACACTATATAAACGTGTTTAAGACTTCATTTGAAGCCTTTTGGCAAGTTTCTCACTAAACTCTTACAACCTCTCTCCTCAAGCTAGAATTAAGGTCCAAATCACAAGTTTAAGGCTTCAAATCTTTAAGGTAACCTCCCTGACATGTTATTCAACACCTTTAGCCTTCAAATTGATGAAATAATTGAGTTTTAGGTCCAAGAACATGAGTTTACGGCCAAGGAACAAGCTTGGGTCGTAAACTCCATTTAATGGGGTTTTAAACCCTTAAACTCCTTCCTAAACTCAATTGGACTTTAGATATGGCTATGGGACTTCAAGCTATGGACTTAGGACATTTAAAACTATGATTTTGAGCCATTTAAAGGAGTTTACGACCAAGGCATAAGCTTGGGCCGTAAACTCAAGTAAAAGGGGTTTTTCATGCCCTAAAACCCTTCCAAATCACTCCCATGACTTAGATATGAATTGTAGGACCTTGGTTTTAGCATTTGGACACTTGAAACATGAATTTTGTGGGACTTATGTGAGTTTACAGCCAAGGATAGTGCTTGGGCCGTAAACTCCCCAAAATGTGACATAAACCCAATTCTAAAGTGTTAGAAAGCCATCCAACACCACCAAAAGACTTGGAATAAATCAAGGGACCAACCAAAAAGGCTTTAAGGGTCTAAAACACATCATTTGTGGGACTTATAAGGGTTTATGGCCAAGGCTTGTTCTTGGGCCGTAAACTCCAAAACTTTTGGTGTTAGAATGAAAACTAAACACCCCTAAAGCCTTTAGATGAATTTTAGAATCCCTTCTATGCAAGTTTTAGACCTTGAAACACTTTGTATGACCCTACATTAGAGTTTACGGCCATGAGGAGGGTCTCATGGGCCGTAAACTCCATAACACCCCTCAAATGTCCCATAAAACTCATGTAAGGTCTAGGAATAATTCTAGTAATCACATGTGATTTGTTTTAACAACATTAAACATCATTTTCATGAAGATTAAGGAGTTTACGGCCAGGAGCCTATACTGGGCCGTAAACTCCCATAAAATAATCATTTTGATGATTTAAACTCATTCCAAGTGTTCCAAGGCAATTTAGATAATCCATTCTAGCATCCTCTATGTCCATTTGAGCCCTTAAACCCTCAAAACCACACCAACATGAGTTTACGGCCGTAAACTCATGTGTGAGTGTGTTCCATGGTTGTAAACTCATTTAAATGTTTACTTATGGAGAGTAAACTCAAGTCCCAAGTCCCTAGTGCCATTACAAGTCCGAAGATGTCACCCAGGTCACTCCAAACGCTCGTTTTGAGGTATTTAACCTCATTGGAGTGTAATGTTCCATATGATTAGTGAATGTATCTCTAATTGTATATATATGGACATTATATCATTTTACATAGGGTCATCGCGAGTAATCAAACCCCGAACCGACGTCTAGCATTCAAAACCGACACGTTTCCGAGTCCGGTGAGTTCATACCCCTACCCTTTTTCACTGTTTTCACTGTTTTCAAGGGGGAACACAAGCAAAGTACAAGGGAATTCTTGTACTCATAACATGTTTTCAAATATGTGTTTCATATTCTTATGCTTTTAAAACTGATAACTACAACTGATAACATATCGAATATACAGATCACGTAACATATATTTGTGAAATAAGTCTTTAAACTAGTATGTTTTACATGTATTTCACAAATGGTTTTCCACATTTATCAGTTAAAAGCATGAGATTAAAACATTTGAATATAATACATGTACACTGTTTTGTCCTCGGTAACACTCCATGCACATACGCGGGTGGAGGACTTTCATATTATTACTAGTAAATTTGTTATTCCGGTACGAATGGAGACACGTCCTCGGAGAACACTCCACCTGGATTACGCGAGTGGAGGACTACACCCATAACCAGAATCTCTGGTATTTAGAGAGCGTGACTTGAGTGTATAGATCTATACGGGGCTGACTACCCCACACCTGGCTGCTAGCTACAGTCGAACCGAAATGGTTCAAGGGTGACGAAAGTCATAAGTATGTGGACGACTTATTGCCACATGTGGACTACTTATTGCCACAGGTTTCAGTCTATTGTATGGTTATGGAACTCGCAATTAGGATAACAGAGATTTACTTACAGTAATAATGGATTTCTTTATACATCGTATACATCGTTTACATCTTTTACATCTTTTACTTACTGTAACTAACATTAAGGAAGGTACGGGACCTTCCTGGGGAAAACATGGAATCTAATCACGGTTATATCTTTTACATCTTTCACATTGTTTACATAAGATACATACATGCAGGAAAGCATGGGGCTTTCCTGGGTAACACTTACATAACTAGAAAGAGTCACAGAATGGATAACATTACATCTTTTACAATTTGTAACATACGATAAGGAAAGTATGGGACTTTCCTGGTAACACATGATAAGTAAACAGAACAGTTTAACCAGTCAGATAACCAACTATACATTTTCACATGAGTAAATATGTTTTCAGTGTACAAACTTACTATACTTTACAATTGTGAAACAATAACCAACTTTTAAGAAAATACGGGATTTTCTTGGTGTACATAACATTTCAGAAACAGAAAGGAAACCGATACATTTTCGTACAACAAAACCGCTTATGAACTCACCAGCTTTATGCTGATTTTCAAATCGCTTGTGTTCTCAGGTCAGCGTTAGAACAGGTACCTGAAAATCCTTCTGCACGAAGACGGTGTACATGAAGACCCGTTACATTTTGTCTATATATATTATGAATCACAACTGTACAAACTTTACTTTTGAAACAACTGTAAAACTGTTATTATGTAATGTAATGCTTGTTTTACTTTGCTTACTATGTACATTGGATTTGATACTCAACACGGTAGTCAACCCCAGAAATGTATTCCAGACTTCGAGAATTTTCTTTTCTCATTAGAACCTAAAGTTCCTTCTAACTTTCTCTTCTCGCCAACTTCAACCTTACTGTCAGTCCTCCCCTTGATCATATTCTCAACAGACTTGGCAACCCAAATATCTGCCTCTAGAGTAGGTACCTAATGCACTGGCACCGCATACTCCCAAGGGAGTCCCTTTGCATACCGGTCAACTTTTGTCAGTTCATCTGGGACGATGCGCAAAGCAAACTCCATCTTGTCTGTGAAGGCATTAGTGTATTCATCCACTGACATGCTGCCTTTCTTCAATATCAGAAATTTGTTCTCCAACTCTAGCAGGTTTTGGGCCGAGCAGAACTTGCGCTTGAATTGCACCAAGAACTCTGCCCAAGACAGTTGCAGTGGCTCGTTAGGGCTTAGGATCTTCCCTTGAGTGTTCCACCATCGAACGGCTCCACCTTGGAACTGACGCACTGCATAGATAGTCTACAAGCTGCCTCTGCAGCCACAAGTCATGAAGGCTAGCTCGATTTCCAATATCCAATCCATAACTCCGATCGGATCTTCCTTTCCAGTGAAGGTTGATGGTTTACAAGTAAAAAAATCCTTATACTTGCATCCCATTCCATCGTTCCTCCCATTCTGGTTGTTTTTCCTAACTATCGGTGGGTTGGATTGACCAACATATCCACTAAAGTTTCCACCTTCCAGGTTCCCTTCATTCACTTCGGGCTCTTCCACTTGAATTAACAGTTCTTCACGATTCTGTTGAAGCAGACGTCTCGTTTCATCCATCTGACGATCCAACATCGTCTGAATCATCAATTGTACACCGGCCATTGTTATCGGCTCAGGTGTTGATGCTATGACAGGTATTTGCTCAATCACTGGTGGTTGATTCCTGTTTTCATCAACATTTCCAACTCCAGTTCTTGTTCTCACCATTTTTGATCTATACACCGAATAAGGTGAAATTAGATCCTTATTCACGATAGATATTCAAATCATCATTATCACTCTGAAACGTTTACATGCTAGTTCTAATATGCTAGACATACACCTAGAATCCTAAACACATAAGGTTTCCAGATCCGGTCGGCAACAGACAATAGATCCGAAAAAATAATAGCACCAATATAGCTATCACACAAAACATTTAGCACATAAAAGCATTTTAGGCATCATTCCTAAAATAAACTAGTGCTTGTGTCAATTTAGGTGTACTACCTAACATATTTTAGACACACTGCTCACAATCATTACTTATCATTCTAAGTTTAAGTCTAGAAATATCCTACAATTTCCTAGTTCGCTTAAACTAATGCTCTGATACCAACTGTGATATCCCCATTTTCACGGGCAGAAAAGACCGATTTGTTTATGCTTTGTTTTATAAAATCAGAGTAATCTTTTAAAGAAAACAGTTGCGGAATTTGTTCCCAAAACAAAATATGATAAAAACTATCAAAGCATTTCTCGAAGAAAATGTATTTTCATTTAATAATAAAACCTCGGAATGTCATGTTCCGATACAGACATATCAACATAAACAGAACTTACATTTAGTTACACAATTGATTTATATCTCCTTTAAATCTCTCTGTGAAATATGTCTTCTTATTAATACATGTGATACAAAGAAAACTGAGTGGGTCAGGCTTGGGAGCCTGGTAAACATATAGGGTTTTCAACCCACAATAATATAATTATTATATTCAACCATCAAACAATCAACTCAATTACCCATCCCTATTATCTTCTTTATTTCTTAGGATTTTACCCTAGGAATTCAACTACCCGTCATTCATTTATTCCTAAGGATTCACCTAAGG